TCAATATTTAGATTTTTTTGCACCCTCAGATTCCAGATTTTCAAATAGTTGTATCTCTGCCATATATTGTCCTATCCTAAAAAAAACATACATCAATGGAAAGCTTATTTATTCAGCTTTCAGATTTTTTCAGATTTCCGATTTTGAAAAATTGACACTTATGACTGGTTTCGTGGTCCAGGGTCACATATATTATTTTATATATAATATATGCTCAATTAAATAGATTTATTTTACTTATGCTTTTTTATTTATGCTATTGGGTAAATACACAAAATAAAAAGCATGAACAAAAAACAACGTGTGTGTGTGTGTGTGTGTGTGTGTGTGTGTGTGTTGGGTCACTCAAAGAAAGGTCATCAGCCTTTTATGTTCCACTTCAAACATTTATGTGCTTGCATCATGACTGAAAGAAGAAAACATTAAAACTCTAATCTATTAATCATGAATAAATTTTTCCATATTGTACAGATATATAGAGCAAAATATGTTTCATTTTACAGTGGTTTTGCATTATGATTACATGACATATTAAAATGTCAAAGCATGAAGCAAGAGAAGAGTGTACACTGCATACCGTGTAAACTGTTTTCCCATAAAACATGTTGAATGAGCAAACCTGTGGGAGTGAGAGACTTCCTGGGGGTGGGCAATGATTGGGAAACCATATGAAAATTGTTAGGATAGGATCCCCAGAGATCTTTACACAATCAACCACCAGCACCAATTCAATGCAAACCATGTTACGTCTGTCCACTGCATAACGAAATTATGAGAGCCAGTGCTACTGACCTCAATAAAAGCTTTTATTTAAAGTAACAAAAAGATCTGCTCTGCCTGCCTTTAAATATGGCATTGCCACTGTTTTCCAAGCTGCAGGAGTTAAGCTTTGGGGCCGGATGTGATTCCTGTATTGAATGTTGTGGCTCACTCGTGCAATGTCTGCCGCTGGACTGCCTGGAGCATTGACGTAAATTCCTCCTGCTCAGCATTCAACTCATGAAGTGGGTCAGCTCAACTGATATGGACTCATCATACTGGCTTCTTACATCACAGTCACAATGTAAAATTAACATGGTTGTTTTTATCTCTCCCTTAAGGTTCACATTTTCAGTTTATGAGGCCCCGGAAGCTCAGATTCTAGACAAACTCTTAATACTCACTGGAATTGAAGTCAAATCAGAAGATTTGACATTCCAGTGATAATTTCACCATAAATGACTAAATTCCAAACAGAATGCACTGTAAAAAATGTGTATATATAATAAATACAAAATATAATGCGTATATACATTTATATAATTTTTATTATAAAAAAATTCTATTATATAAATGTATAATATACATGTATTATATAGAAATTCAAGGTGAAATTATCACTGGAATATCAAATCATCTAACTTTTTATATACCTTAAAACAATAATTTCAATAATTAAAATTGTTAATTCAAGATGTATTTTTTGGAAGCAGATCCTAATATCTTTGCTTTTCAAGTAAATTGATCTTGTTTAAAGGATCTGTAGATGTTTTTTCTTCTGGAAAACCAGAAAAGATATCTTTTTTTTTTCTTTATTTCTTTTTTTTTTTTTTCACGT